GAATATCACAGTCCTGGGGAGAAGCAAGCAATGGCTGCTGTGCAAGGGTGGAGTGCTGGAAGAGAGAGTGACAGTGACATCAGAGACAAGAGGCACCATCCCACAGCACCCATATGGGAAAGGGAGTGTCTGGGGATGGTGCTCAGGGTCAGCCAATGGTCCAGTGTACCCAGACAGACAAACAGCAAGGAGACAGGTTCTGAGCTCAGGAGAGCAAGTCAAACATTTAGGTCAGGGTCATGGCCGAAGTAATCAAGGTATAAGGGCAAGTACTTGCTCACTTGGAGCATAGGCTAGCTGGGTACCGAGGGTCAGAACCTGAGCTTAAATGCAGCTTCCAAGGAAGGTGGGAGGCACCCACAAATCATCTCCCTCCCCCCAACAGCACCCTCTCATTTACTTCATATGACTATGATCCAGGATTGCAGCCCCATCCTAACACAGCTGCTCAAGCACAGGAAAGAATTTAACAAAGTGGTCATATGATATGAAGGTGGAAAGAAGAGGTTCATTCCTGGCCAAAACATAATGGCATGATGTCACTAAACGTTTTCTGGTTTATTCTCTTCTTTGACAGATTTTCTTTTCCTGAGATGTTGTTAAAGGCAAATATCACCTGTGGGCATTTCTCCAATCTCACTTATAATATACTGTATTTTTCGTTATTAGTATTATATACCAGTTATTAATAGAAAGAACACATAATCCTTAAAATGCTGGACAGGAATGCAGATCATTTGGGATTAATTTTTGCTGGAGTTTTGCATAAATCTAAATCTCTTTTATTCTCCTCTAATGCAAAATAGAGCATTGTGCTGCTTTTCACCCAGCCTTATGTAAGTTTAAGAGTTAGATTTCCTTCAAGTATCTCTGTGTCCATAAAAATCCCAGTCTTGGAAATTTTCTTAGTCTTCATCAATTACAAGGAGCCATCTGGGTTTATAAACAGGAAAATTTTATCCTTGCCTAAAGCAGTTGTAAGGTATAACAGTTGTGATAATCCCTTTCAAATTTAATTTCATTACATCATTTTATCTCATGAGATTGCATCAGGATTTCTCAGTTATTTAATTTTTTTGCCAATTTTCTAAGTAATGTATTTTAATATTGGAACTGTATTTTATACACAGGTTTTTACTTTGCATACTCATCACTCTATAATTTTTTTTTCCTTCATGATTTTATTGTTAAATAAACAATCTCTTGGCATTCCTTCCGGGTTTTTTTCATTGCTTTTACAGGATGTTTTTGTTTATTTTATTTTTTTAGAAAAAAAAATCTTGGAAATAAAACTACAATAAAAACAACAGATGAAAATAGTGTGTTTTTATAAATTGATTTATTAAGGTGAAACCATGCCACTTGAAACACTTTTTCTAGGATCTGTTTTTCTTCAATAATTCCTTTAACTGCCTTTTTGGCTCCCACAATAATTTTTTAGCTGCATGAATACTAATAATTATTTTGTGAAAAACAAAAACTGCTAAAATGCTACCAACCACTTATTTTAAAATAATTCAGATTTATCCTATATAAATATTGTAAGGAAGCACATTTTCATTACCAGTAAAAATGGAATTTGTAGATGACACCAGAATGATGCAAAATTTCAGGAATGAAAGACAAAATGTAAGAGAGCAAGAACTCTTCTGCATTAGACATGCAATAGATTTCTTTTTGAAGTGTCTAAAAGGAAAAGTAACCTTTTGTAAAGGTCTATTTTAGTAACACCTGACAAAATCTCATTATGAAATAGGTATGAAAAGATGGGCTGCAGAATGTAGAATTTCTAAATCTATGCAGTAATATAGACCATAGACTTTTATACCTGATAACAGTGACAGATGTAATAGCACTTATAATGAACATAATAGTTCAAGACTGTTACCTTAAAAGAAAAAAATGCTAAATGACCCAAACTAAACATTTGATACCCCATTATCTAATGGTATCTTTGAACATCATGAGATTCTGAAGATAATGGAATGGTCTCAAAATAGAAAGACTATGAGTTCAGCAGCAAGAATAATAGTTTTCTTGCAGATCTGTGTCCTTTCTTTTTTGCTATGGGGAGTTAACTCCCAGGGGTGAAAATACAGAGGCAGAGAGGAAATTAATATTAACATACTTGCCTAGCTTTGGAGCTATGTGGCTAGAGTACTAAAACTCTTTGAGGGCTGAATTTGGATTCAGTAATTAAATTAAAATGAAAACTATTCTGGGAGAAGGATCAAAATCTAGTTTATACCCCTTCTGAGTTTAATATTCTAAACTCTAAATCTCCTGTTATTACTTTAGTTGGTCATAATCCACACTTTTCTGGTATCTTCGAAGACTGAAACAGTGCTGGCTACTCTTCTGAACAAAGGTCATTGGGACAGGTTCACTTGTTCAGCAAATTACTAGCAGGACATAGCTACATTTTATATGTTTTCATCCCGATTTAGATAAAAATAGGAGAGACTGAATATGACCCTTTAGTACTATCCTATAATTGCCAGCAAATCATTAAGTTGCTTAAAATTCTTCAGCTCCAGGTTTCCTCAAACAATATCTTTTCTATCCTTCTTTGATCATTCAGCCTAGTCCAGAGTGTGGACCAAAATATATTGAAGAACTTTGGGGGAAAATGAGGGCATTTCAGGAAATCATGTACTACTGCACCATAATCCACATGCACTTTTATGATAAACCAGTGTAGTGTGTTGACCCTGAGTAGATGCCAGGCACCTCCCAAAACCATTCCATCTCTTTCCTCCACACTGGACAGGGGAGAAAAAATATAATTAAAGGGTTCATGAGTTGAGATAAGGACACAGAGCGATAACTCACCAGATATGTTCACAGCAAAGCAAACTGGAATTAGAGATATTAATTGAAGTTATTGCTAACAAAATCAGAGCAGAATAATGAGAAGTAAAACAAGACCTTAATAATACTTTTCCCCCACTCCTCCCGCTTCCCCAGGTCTACCTCTTACCCCAGTGGCACAGGAACACAGGGAATGGTGATAATGGTCAGTTCATCAGTTTGTTTCTGCTGCCACTATGGAAGAGGAGTCCTTCCCCTGCTCCAGCATGGGGAGCTTCCCATGGAAGATAGTTCTGCACAAACTTCTCTAATTTGAGTTCATCCAACAGGCAGCAGTTCTCTACAAGCTGCTGCAGTGAGGGATACTTTTCCATGGGGTGCAGTTCTTCAGGAACAGGCTGTTCCAGCATGAGCTCCCCACAGGGTCACAAGTTCCTCCAGGAAAACTGTTTCAGTATGGACTACTTCCTCCACTGGTCTGCAGATCCCTGCCAGGATCCTGCTCCAGCATGGGTGTCCTACAAGTTCAGAGCCTCCTCTCAGGCACCACCTGCTCCAGTGTGGGGCTCCTCCCCAGGCTGCAGGTGGATCTCTGCACCCCTGTGTCCCTCCATGGGCTGCAGGTGGATCTCTGCACCCCTGTGTCCCTCCATGGGCTGCAGGGGCACAGCTGCCTCACCATGGGCTGCACCAGGGGCTGCAGGGGAATCTCAGCACCTGGAGCACCTCCAGCCCCTCCTGCTGCACTGCAGAGCTGTTCCTCACATATTCTCACTCTGCTCTTCTCCAGCTGCAGTTGAAAGTATGCAGTGTCTCTTTTTTCTTCCTAAATCTTTTATCTTGTAGGTCTTACCACCATTTTTGATTGGCCCAGAATTGGCCAGTGGCACATCCAGAGCTGGCATTGGCATTGGCTCTGCTGGACATTGAGAAAGCCACCCTTCTAGCCCACCCCCTACCAAAACCAGTCCAGGCAAACCCAATAAAACCAAATGTGTGTAGGTGTTGAAAAATATGCATGTGCTGTGCAGAAAATAAAACAATGTGAACAAATTTCAAATTATAAATGCTATTGTTTATTATTTTTATTTATTTATTGTTTATTTTGTTGTTTGAATGGCTTCCTTTGTAAGATAAATTTTCTTTAGAATAATTTTCTAATTTGTAAATATCAGTTTAGGGACCATTACCTTAAAAGAGAATATAAATATCTGAGAGTGTCAGGTAAGGATACTGAGGGGAAAAAACACTAAAAGAGAAAAAACTTTGTATTTAAGGCAAATTAAGCTATTACTAATGCAAAGCTATTGAAAATTTCCAATGTATTTAACATAATATTTTTTTTTCATCATTTTCATTATGACTCCAAGCAAAAGCTTCATATTATATTGTTTTGGTTTTTTTTTTTCTCAAATCACTCATCTCCATGCAATAAAAATTGCTAGATGTATTCAAGGGACAGAAAAGGTTAGTCTATAAATTAAATAGTCCTGGATCTGTAATCTGTTGTCTTTTACTGTAATGCGTAAAAGTCTCAAACATATGATTAAGGACATTTGGTTTTCAAGCATACTCTTTGAAAAGTAAAGATTTAATGGAATGTTTTTTTGAATGCATAAGAACAGAAAAGAGCTGAGTAATGATTGCATGTTTTCATCATAAAACAAAAATTCTCAGGCCTACATCTTTGGAATATCTACTTTTATAATAAACTGTTAAATGATGATCAGAAAAATATTTCTGATTAAACCTTATGACTAGAACTTAGATGTTCTTGTTTAGTTCCTTGTTTTCCCTTGTTTGTTAAGATGTCCTATCTTAACTTTATTACCAATAGTTTTGAAAACAGAGGGAGGTAACATGAGAAGTATGCCTTCAAGCTCTTTCTTTTGTGCACCCATGTACAATAAAATGCACTAAATAAATACCAATTTATTGGTAGCAGGAATAAAAATAGGAAAAAACTGACCTTTGTTACAGGGTTGTGGTTCTGATCAGTTCATTTGGCTTATTCCAGTTTCCCATTACTAATTAGATGTTGCCCTTTGTTGTACATTTTCTGTTTTGTAATGAGGTTTTAATATTCAGCTGTATTTGGTGTGAAAACAGAAATACTTTCCTCTGTTTGACTTCCTAGGCTGCCATGGGAAATACATGTGAACCTTAAGAACAAGTGTCGACTGCTGAATGGAGAACAGAACCAAAACCTACAGTAATAAAATGGACACCAAGGGGAAATATCTGCTCAGACTTTTACACTGAGTGCTGGAACATGAATAAAAGTATTACTGGAGAGATCTCTGCAGAACATAACCTCAGTGTCCCTCAGATATGCCCTTTACAGCTTCAATTAGGTGATAGTCTCTTCATCTCCTCTGAGCCATCGTTTCAATCCTATGGAATGAATTTGGTAAATGTCTCCAAGGAAGAATTTATTAACTGCCCTAAGGCTGGTTCTCTTCAAGAGCAGATGATTTTTGTTTGCCAGATAAGAGGACTGCACCAAGTGGACCCAAGCAGGCTTGGTGTTGGAACCCATTACTTTGCAGAACTTCACAAGAGAGGTCCGCTGTTGTGCGACATGGGCCTTCGTCTGAACGTAACCGTGAAGCAGCAGTTTTGCCAACAGTCTCTGGATGCACCACTATGCTCTGGGCATGGAAAATGTCTAAGCCATGTTTGGGAAAAAGCATATAATTGCCATTGCTTCCCACAGTATTCAGGAATATTCTGCCAGAAGTTTGATATATGTTCCACCAAACCTTGCCACAACAATGCCTCCTGCACCGAGAAATCAGAACTTTCTGGAGATTCTTATGAATGCTCATGTCCTCCAAAATTTTCAGGTACTTCTTTTCTCCTCTAGGGATAAACATTACATAGATCATACACTTTCCTTAACAGATGATAAAACAATTAGAACAACACTACAAAGGCTTTTGTATAATTTGATTGCCTTCTGCTGCTACCACACCTGCAGAGTCTCTTTTGCATGGAGTCATTATGGGAGACTGTGCAGGCATTTGAAGACAGTTTGTACTTGCTGACGTTCATAAATACATTGTAGTGAAAAAGAGAATAAGATGTTTATAATGCTTCTTTCCTACTTAAACATGAGACATAAATAAGTACTTGTTGACTTACAGAAGTAACTGCTGTTTTTCTTTTTTTTTTTTGTTCTGTAGTTCTTACAGTCCAGGTTCTTAGACAAAATAGCATAAATCATTTGGAATAATCTACCCCCAAAATAACTGGTCAGCCAAACTGGTGAAAAAGAGTAATGATTTTGTTGAAATGAGCATTTCATTCAACTTGCCAAGACTTGCCTCCATTTTCAGTTTAAAGATCTTTCAAATTACATTAGTGAAATTTTTAAATCAAAATTTGGTTTAACTGAAAGGTCAAACCTTAAATAAGGGCAGTCAAAATAAAATACTGAGTATTTTCTTCCGTATTTTTCTTTCCCCTAAAGTTGTTTTCAACAGCAATTTGTTAAACATAGTGTTACTATCAAATTAAACATGTCACAAATGAAAAAAGAAAAATCAAGTAATCAATCCTCATAGGAAATATTGCAGTACTTACCCAAAACTCATCAGAGAAACTGAATTTGGGTTTGGATTACCACACCAGAGAGTACAACATAACTAGGTAAATTCTTACCTAACAATTACCTTAAATTAATGGAGGAAAAAAAATGGATTAAGGAAATTATGGAGATGTTGATCCTGCATTCAGATAGGATTTGGGTATGTTTTAGAAAGTACCAGAACTGTTAATTCTCATCACAAAAAGATGTAGCTCTTTTTGTACTTGTGGAGCAGAATTCTTGAAATGTTCCTCTGTTGGTCTGAATTTCTATGCTCTCACAAAAGTGATGCTATGCTATGAAGCAGACCTGATGGCTCAGGAATGAGTGAGGCTCATAGAATGCACTTCATAGAAATGAAGCTTATGTTGCATAAAGATTGCTGTAATTTATTTTTAATTGCTTTTCAAAGTGCATAATAATTTGGTTACTAATGCATTTGCCAATAGAAAATTATGCAGGTATAAATAAGTCAATGTTGTGAGAAAAATATTTTTATAATTATGAACAGTGTAATAAGATAGTGGAAAACATTGATGGTATGCAGTATGTTTTATATTTCCTTTATCCTTACAGGAAGCTGTGTAAAATGCTTTTAAAATAATAATACCAAAATCATCTAGGACTAATTGAACTCAAATTAATGAAAAAATTTGCAAGCAATTCTGTTAAAAGCAATCATCATGCTTAATGCTACTAAAAATCAATGCTTTAAACATTTTGTTAGCCTATATAGGAAAGTTTTAGGTAATGCCATCATTTTGTACTGACAATACTGGTCTCATAAATAAGCTGGATGTAAACAAGAAGAATTAGGAGACTAAACCACCATATATTATGGGCATGGTTACACAAGAGTAAGGGAGGAAAAAGTGCCTCCCATAACATAAAGCCTATTAGAAATTGAAAACTTTTTGAAGTGTGAATAACGTCATGGTAATAATTCAAGAGACAGGCATAATTATATGGTATTTAGACCTGTATGTTGTAATAGCATAAACAACTTATAACTGGAATTGTAATTTCCAGAATATACATTCTCACATTTCCACTCCATGTAAGAACATATTTTGTTCTCAATGCTGAAAGAAACTGTAAGCTAGATTCATGTTTAAAAGAAATAAATACTACAGTTCTGGGAGCACTTCTGCATCCCAAGCTATATGTGAATTTGTAACTGTATGTCAGATGAGGTTAAGCACAATAGCAGAGTACAAAAATAGATTAATATCTTTCTAATTTACAAGTTCAATTAGTTTGGTACAAACTAATGAACAATATTAGCACAAACACCTTTCTATCCATTTGCCTATCTATATTGTAGCTATAAATTTGACATTTATAAAAAGTTCACCAAATTCCCTAAATATTTACTAAAGTCCAGTGTTCCTATTTTTCCTTTGACACAGGTAAAAATTGTACAGAAATTGTTGGACAGTGCCAGACATCTACATGTTTCAATGGTAACTGCATCAATGTTACTCCAAACACTTTTCTTTGTGAGTGTGACAAGGGCTTTACAGGTAGGAATCACCTTTTTTCCCCTCTCTTACAATGATCATTTTATCTGTTATAATAATAGTATGAATTTTTGCTTTATTAAGACAGTTATTTTTGATGATTATTGAAGAGATTGCCATATCCTTAGATTTTTTAAAAATAGGTTTTGTGGAATATAGAAATCAGACTTCCAAATTACTCAGGTACTGAAGTAAAAACATATAAATGACAGAAGCTTTTCTAGAAGCTTGTCATAATCAGATGCCATGCACAAGTTCCTTTCTTCTACTGGCAGTATAACAGAGGAAGACTCTCAATCACTGACTCACTGGTTCTCAAATACAGAGTTAGAAAGAATCAGAACCCTTCCTGGATGGATGATTTTGAATGTTCATGACATTTGTATTCATAGTTTCAATATCCTCTTATAGATGTACTGGAAATATAGGATGGAAGCCACCTAAAGAGTCAATAACATAATGATTTAGGGATGCAACTTGATTAAAAAGAAAATTGATTCATATATGATAAAATAATAATATATGGAAAAATAAGATGTTTTCATGAGAAAAGCTTGAATGTAAAATGTATCTAAAACCATCCTATTGTAAATACTTTTTTGGGGGGTTAGGATAGTAGTCAAAAACTCGTTCCTCACAAAAGAAACTCACAGTATGGATGTGAGAAAAGTAGTAATACTCAGAAGAACATTCTTTAAGAGGGAGCTAAGCGTAGAGCTAGCTCTTGAATATCCAAAGACAGTAACATTTTCAAAATGTCTATTTCTTGGAAGCATCACTTATCCTTTTCAATTATAGAATATAAATAAATGATTACATTGAAATAAAGAATTTTAAAAAAGCATAATAGAGTTAGAGGGATTAAAGACACAATCTTTATTTTCATACTGAAAGACTGAAGATCCTTGTTTATATTTCAAATAAGTCTGTATAGAAACATATTTTTAAAAAATGGGATAGACATGCTGAATTCTGAATACCTAGTAAATCTGTTTGATATTCTCCTTTTCTTCCCTTTCCTTCACTACAGAAGCATCATGGTCAGCATAATTCTGAGAAAACTGAAAAAAACCCTCTTTTTTCAAAGGAAAAAATCCTTTACTAAAGTTTTCTAGAGCTTATTTTCCACCCAGTCATGGTCCATATATTTTTAGAATACTTACCTTTGTCCTTTCACACAAATTTTGTAGGCATGTCACTTTTGAAATTTTCTCTACAAAAATCTCTTTTATCCTTGCAATTCTGACATAGTGAGGGAGAGGAGAAATGAGACAGAAGGATCACCCTTCCAGATGTAAGAAATCCAAACTCATAATGACATGAAAATAATTTAACACTCTGAAATACCAGAGAGCAAGATACTCTGCAACCTACTTTCCAAGCAGCTGGTAAGGACTGAGAAGGAGAAAAGGAGACTATGAGTGTAACTAGCCTTTTCATTCTACACTTAGCTAAAAGAAGATGGAGAATCCTTTTTTGTTTCTATGTATAAGTATCTTGGAAGAAGAAGGATTTTAATGACTTTTTTTATGGTTCTGTAGTATAACATGACTGATTGACTAGCATACAGTATAATTTTACAATTATTTGCTAACCAAACGTGGTTGCACTTGTCTACATGTCTTCTTATGGTCCTGTGTAAAGGTGTTTGCTAGTACAAAGGCAATTTTTAGAACAGTTACCTAAAAGAATACTACTATGTGAAAATGGATGTTTTTTTCTAGGAAAACAGGCATTTTCCTATTGTTGTTCCATTGCAGCTGTATTGTATTCTGAGCCAAGGTGAGTTGTGTAATTATGAATCTTGTAAGTTGAATACTATTTTAATTGTGTGAAATTGGCAGAATATTCAAAGCATTCTTCTGTCTTGACATTGAACTTGCACACAGGAAACAAACCATAAAAAAAAGATTGTGCACATTATGTTTAAGACTTTGTAAACTTTGTCCAACCTTTTTTCTAAAATGAGGCAAGACCCTGATAGTAACTAGTTCATGTGATCTGAATGAGAATGTTAAATATACTTGTTGCTCTTTATTTATAGTATGTAAATAAGCTTAAAATAAAAATGCTCTGAAAGCATTTATTCAAAATAAGTAAAGGTTCCTGGGTCCAAGTTGTTATGTTCACAAGGATAGAATGGATCAATTAGACACGCAATGTAAATTCTCATTTGAATTATGTATTTTTCTTTTTTGTTAATTGTTTAGTTCATTCACTAAGCTCTGAAAACTCTCTTTACTCTTCTGTGAAGGAAGATTTTTAATGTAACAGCAAACAGCTGACATTAGGTTTGCCTTATCTTTCATTTCATTTCATTATCTATCATAAGTACTCTTATGATGGAATACTCCAATTCATACCAGAATTTGCACTCTTAGACTTATAAAGATGCCTTTAGAGGAAGGGAATGTGAGTAAAACAAAGATGGGTATGTACAGAGAGGAAGGAGGGTAAAATAAGCTGGTAGTGTGTAAGCAGTTTCTGCTCAGTAGTCTGAGACCTGCACTGAATCACTGTAGTCTCTCTATTCTTCTTATCAAATCTTTTCTTAACTCACTTTCCACATAATCTCTTTCTCCATCTATGTGCTCTAAGGTCCCAGTGCCAGAACTGGAGAGAAAAAATGTGCCTGAACTTGGTGTTTGCAATTTGAATTAGACCACTGGCAATAATGGTCCTTCTCTCAGTCACAGGACTAGGATTTGACTGTTTATACATATGTTTTATGTGTTCTGGGTGGCTGCTGGTAAAAGCAGTGCCTTATTTGTGGGTAGTCTATGCAGCTGGTTGCATTAGTGTCCTCTGCATGTGTGCATCTCTGGCATGCATGCCCATCTTGGCTGAGCCTGCAAACAGGAAAGCAGCAGCTGCATTCATTGGGTGGGAGGGACTCCAGGTTTTTGGGTTCACTGGGCTGGGCTTCAGCAGCTGGGAAGGAGGTTCTCCAGGCCCCAGAGTCCACCAGAGCAAGTGTCTTTCATACATCTCTTAACAAAGAGGATGTCTCAGAAATTTTGATGGATGTTATTGTCCTGTTCTGAAGATGCATAGAAAATTACTGTGACTAATTCAACCTACAGGAAATAACAATCTTAGCTACCTCTGTAATAGTACTGCTCAGTATGCTTAACCCAGATAATTTTTAGTGGACCAAGAGAAGTAGTTTTCCACTTGAATACATTTTTTTGAGTCTGTGTGGCATTTTGCTCTTTAGGTGGGAAGATGGGACTGAGTAAAAAAACAACCCTTTGTAGAGTAGTTGAGATTATTTTAGTTTTTTTCACACATTCCTGTAAGGGAGATTTGAATTTCCTGCCTTCCCCAATGGTCCAATTGACCGCTTTGCAGACTAGAATATGTTCCCTCCTCACCTGAGGGACAGAAGATAATATGAGAATGAAGTGGTTTTGCTTGGAACCACTATGCTAGAGCTTTCATCATCCAGGTGCTTTAGTTTAAAATGGTCTGCTTAATTAAATTAATTTAATTAATTAAAATGGTTTGCTTAATTGGTGAATTACACACAGGCTCTTTTGAAAAAAAGATCATAATTGAAAAGATACTTTTATACATATATAAAAGAAGAGAAGCATTTATTTTTTGCACACTTACTGTTTTAACAACCTAATAGTTCAATTTGTCTAGTACTAACTCTCATTGCCCAAATTAATACCCAAAACGTTCTTAATAGAACCCCTACAAATACCATGCAAAAGGCTTTTCTACAATCTAGTTTTTACTTTGGTATGATGCTCAGCTTTCTAGTGCAGCTCTTGGTCAAATACATCCATCTCCCCCAAGAAGAGGGCATAACAATCGGAGCAAGTCATCAGCCCTTCGTGGTATTCATTGAGAGGAGTGTTACATTCACACTGGAGGTTTCTCACCCATCAGTCAAGGGATTATCTTAGTCTGCTTGTACATGTTTCCATATCATTGTCTATTTCTTTAACCAGTGGGAGCCTGGCAGTGGTCTCCAGTCACCTGCCACAAAGGGCTGTGATTTGTCAGGCTGTAACTGAGGTGGGGAAGGGCTGACCCCCTCCCAAGATGGGCCATCCACAAAGATGAAGCTGAAACAGGGGAGACAGCCATCACTGGGCACAAGCACAGGGTCTAATACAAACTAGAAAAGTTCTCTGATCTTGTACTCAGATCAGTACAAAGGTCAGTCTGAAGAGATGTACCTGCTACAGATTCTGTTTTTTAGTGTTTCTCGAAGGGACAGGGAAGATAGCTGCAAGGATGTGAGAACAGGGACGGAGTATGTTTTAATAAAATCATTTGTCAAGTATCACAGTTTCCTCAAAGAAAGCTGTATATTTATGGGGATTATGATTCTCAGTTGTAAAAAATATTCTATTTAAAATATTCTGGAAATATTCTTTTATCGTTTATAATTATGAATAGAATGAAGAAAGTATAGTCAAGGTTTTTGATATTGAAATGGCCGTAGTTCTTTTAGTGTTAAGAAAGAAAATACATATTTTCTTGGCGGTTTTAATGAAGTTATGGTAATATTGTCATTCACATCATTTAATGTACATTTCATATGCATTTAATAAAATCATAGAATCATAGAACAGTCAAGATTGGAAAAAATCTCAAAGATCATTGAGTTCAACCTTTGACCAAGCACTGCCTCATCAACTAGACTATGGCACTAAGTGCTCATCCAGTCATTTCTTGAATGTTCTTAAGTTATTTTGTGAGAGTATAAAACAAGATTTTTCATACATCATTTGGTGCTAAAGGAGTTTAAACAATTGTCACTACAGTGCTAGATAATTCTACTACTAGTATTTACTCTTCCAGATATGATGCAGATCAATTTATCTTAGCTAGTGACAAAAATAGACATGAAAGGATCTTGTCAAATCTACAGTAATGACATGAATTAGATTGTCTGACTTAACTAGATTTAAGTTTTCTCAAATGTACACTTCTGGCATGATTTTCTTACACACTTCAGTAGTCTGAATTTCAAAACTTTCTTTTAG